TTCCTCAGAGGAGGAGGGAAACCCTGTGGTATGACAGGGCATGGTCTGCACCATGACATAGCACCTGAGCCTTCACTCCTCTTCTGCCTCTGCTCGAGTCCTAAGTTCCTGTAAACACCCAAACCCCAGAACGTGTGCCCATTGGGAAAAACTGCTGGAAACCAATCACAGTTTTCCTGAGCACACTTAAGATGCCAGAGCTGGGTAAGAAGATCTATTGACTTAACTTTGGGAGGGGTTTAAAATCCCACAGAAGAATCTTACACTGCAGGACGCTCTGCTGGTTGGCATTCACCCCAACAGATAACAATAAGCACTAGGGATTTCCATGCTGCTCGGCATGGAAACGCAGCAGAATGTGAAGTCTTCACCAATTTGTTTCTTGCCTGCACTCTGCCTGCTAAACAGCCCTCCCAAATATATGGCTCTGCCAGGCAGGAATTCAAACAATCAAAAAGAAAGTGATTCAAGGGGACCCCATAGATTAGAAGCAGCCATTTTTCCCCTCCTGATCTTTTTGCAAGGTGTACAATCGTTTGCCAGAGAAAAACTTAGAGCTAAAATCAGCAAAAGGCCCTTTTATTCTTTGCCCATATAAGCACCTATCATACAGGTTGTTTCATGTTTGCACATCCTGGGTACACACAACTAGAACAAGGCTTTGCAAGGTTATGACCAAGTAAAGCAATTTGCATCACTGGGGCTCTACATAACAGCTTTAGGCTTCTTGATTAATGCACCTCATCCTCTGCTTCTTAAAGGTAAAAACATTAATGCATCATTTGCAATGCTAACCACAGAAAAAAAAAAAAAAAAAAAAGAAATCTTCTGCTTCAGCATAAAGTAGGATACATAAGGAAAATAACTTTTGTCAGAACAAGAAAGGGAACAAGATTATTCCTGTATTCTCTAGTAGGTTTGGTGACCTAAATCACCAGTCAGTCATCTGAGATCTGGGAGTGAGATTTCTGTTAGAGCCAAATGCAGGTTGCACACCTGTCTGAGCAGCAGTGATGCTCCCCAGGCATGCACAGTAATGGAAGGACATGGATAACTCTAGGATCAAAACAAACCTCTAACCTCAATTTGCTGATGCAGAATAGCAACGAAAGGATCAGCTTTTCATGAGAATAGAGAACTGAATTAAAACTTTAAGGTAAATCTTATAATTTTAAAAGACAAAACAAAATGAAACTCTTAATTCACAAGATGTTAAAATCACAGTAGTTATTAACCTAACTTAAATTAACTGGCTTATTATTATAGAAAGTCATCAAATGTACTTAGCATTCTTTAGAGCCTTACAGTCAATTAATATAACATGAAATTGAATCAACTCAAGCATCTAGAGACACAGAACCTAGATTTAAATGAAAACTTCAGCCCCATCTACCTCAGGGTTTGAAAATTTGGGATCACCTACCACATTTTCTCCAATGCAACAGGCACAAACTCTCATTTATATCCCATATCGAATTTACCCAGAAACAAATGAGAGAGTGTGGGAAAACCATCTCCATGATTAAATTTTACAGCTGAAGCTAAGCCCAGTGGAGTTTTCACCCTTTGAAGCTAGCTCCATCTGACTAAGGGCCAGATTTTCTGAAGTGATTAGTACCACTGGGGCTGAATTTTCAGAACTGCTCAAGTTGTAGTTAGACCCTTAAAGGAAGCAGACAGATTTTCAAAGAAGCGTTCGACGCCTGGTTTTCCTGCGAGGAATACCACGGTGTGCCGCAGGAGACCCCATTCCCACAGGGGCTCCTGGCTGCCAAGGACTTCTGAAAATCAGGACATTTACTTACGTGCTTTAGTGGGAAACACTGGCGGTTATGGCCTTTTAAAAATCTTGCCCTAAACACAGTTGCTAAGCTGCATTTATTGCTGGCCTAAACCAAATTATTCTTTATCGTGGCAAAGGAAAAGGAAGGGAAATGTTACATTTATTTAATATCCTAGAGTATCCTTTGCAGAAAATGTGCAAGTTTTTTGCAGTGTTTGTCAAAGAGGAAGAAAGCGCTTGTTCAATGCTGCATGTGAAAGCAGCTTACTGGAAAAGATGAAAACTTATTATTGCCAATTTTGAAAAAAAAAAAAACTCCTCCTCTTTGGCTACTAATGAATAACTAATCTAAGCTAACAATGTCTGGAAATAGTTTTTTTGGAACACACAAAACTTTGTGATGGGTAAAAATTAGGAAATTAAACCTTATTGTATTATTCCAAATGTAACTGTTTACACTTGAGGAAAAATAATGGAATAATATCCACTTGGAAAGTTTTTATTTTTAAAAAATCCTTTGTAATACTCCCAGAAATTCCCTCAGCCAAAAGCAAATAACTTGCTTCTTAACCAGCTAGAAAAAAGAGCGTGATACTACAGGCGTGGGCTCAGTGTACAATAAACACACAAATGGCTTTATGAAATTCCTTATGAAAATCTCACTAGCTAGTAAACATTTAAAACACATTAAAAATCACTCCACAGCATACTAGATGTCTTCAAAATGTGTTTTCTCATGAAACAATGACAAATTTAATACAGAGCTGAACTACACTCACTTGAGAGATGCACAATTGCTCACGTTTAGATCTGTCTGGGGCAAAACCATGTCCCCTGAAGGCTGTCAGTGCCTCCCCGGCCCCACAGCCCGCTGGCTCCTCCTGCTGTGGGCATAGACCCTGCCTCCCATTAGAGCTTCTTCAAGCCCAGAGAAGCCTAATGAAGTTCACCCCATTGACAGGCTTTTGATGTGGGTTTTCCACCACCAGGTGCTCCGATGCTCAGGTACCTCACCTTAGTCAAATGACTCAACAGAAAGAGCCTCATGCGGGGTCAGAGAGGTGATGGGTGTAACACAGGTGGAATTAGCACTGCAGAGAGAGTTTAAAGGGGCTCCTCTTCTGCAGAACACCAAATTAATTATTTTTTAAATGAAACTGATACCACGCAACCATCTCTGCACACATTTATGTGGGAATACAGGACTTTAGCTACCTGTTTGTAAGCTCAAATACACACTCAGGAAACTTGTTACTTAGGATTGGATTTTGATAGTAAATTAGCCACGAAAACATTCATAATGTAAGAATGCAGTTGCATGTCTAATTTTAATATTTGCAGGTATAAAATTCTCTATTTGCATAGAGCTCTGTTATTTTTCCCCATGTTTGATATGAAAGTGGAAAGCCTGACTTATTTAACAATCTAATCTCTATATCCATTTTTATCTATAACAGCTTGCTCCTTCAAAACCATGGACAGATGGGTCTGCTTTCAGAATGATTACCCTTAAACTATACAATATACCAGCTAATTAACAGCTAGAAATTTCTTAAATAAAAAATAATTTCAAAAATTGATTCTGTAGCTCATATGCCACACTCCTGGAACCTGCTAAGAGATGGAAGGTATATAGGGTCCACTGCTCCATACTCCTCCCCAAATCAGTCCTAGAAATCTCCCTTGAAATTAAGGTACTTGCTCTTCAAAGCATACAGTTTCTAAGTAAAAACTAAGAATGGTACTTTTCACTCTTAAAATTCTTCTCACTTGTTCCTAAAATTAATTACTTCTTTACGCTACCAAGCCTTGAACATGTGCTCCAGTTTACCTAACTCCACCAAATTTAGAAAGGTTATTTACAACACAAGTGAGAACAATCTAAGCACAGGCATGCAATGTTAGGCTCCTGGATTTTTAAGTCCATAAACTCTCCAAGTAATCACATCTTTTGTGCTTTGCTGAATGCCTCATTTGTATACAGACAGAAGGCACTTGGGAGAGACGGAGCAGCTTAGAAACAGAATAGGGTTGCTTTTGATTTCTGTTTCATTTTTATTACATATAAGTTTATTAGCTGATGCCAATACATTGTTATCACAGTACTGTGCCTCAACAATAAGTCTACTGTGAACATAATGGGTACTCTTGAATATTATATACTGTTTTTTCCCTGCCTGCAGAAGTGAGCTGCAACAGCAGCTGTTAGGTAGTCTGTTCACCCAACATGAACAAGCTCCAAGACATACCTAAAAAGTTCTCTATTTCTTTTTCACATTCTTGTAAAAGAAGATCTTACGTAAGGGAGAAGTCAAATGATCCATTTTCATACTGAATTATTGAAAACTGTTAGAGAGTTAGCCTCAAATAACCAAAACACAACACACTTCTGAAATCTTTCTGAAGCTGCTGTAAACTTCCGTTCTTTATTCAAACCTTAAGTTCCATTCCCCTTAGAGATTAATATTTTTTTTAGTATCATTGCAAACATCTTACCATTTGTTGGTTACAAAATTTTACTCATTCTGCTTTCAGACCACAGTCATCAACCATCATCTTAATCAAAGGAAAAAAGTAATCATTCTGTGTTTCCTGTAGCAACGCCGAACACAAGAAGTTCTGCTTTCACATTTGCAAAGACTGGGAGACTTGACTAATTTTTTCTTCTTATTCTCATTCCAGGACAACAGATCTACATTGGTGCCCATGTTACCACTGGAGGTCATAGCTTAAGACAGGAAGATGAGCCAGCTTGCTTCCATATGACACAGTCATTAGTACTTACTAGCCCAGGGGCACCAGTGGGCTTCCACAGCTGTCTCACATCTAGTATGGAGCAAGTGAGTCTTCCTACCACAGGTCTCAGGTAGATGGAGATGGTCTCTGCCACAGCACAGAGTATTCTTGAGTGATATATGTTACAGCAGTGACTCATGGAGGAACAACACAATGTATAGAGAAACTGAACAGGTTAAGAATGCCTGAAGGGTGGCATCAGTTGACTTCTGCCCATAAGGAATTTCTGTTTTATTGAACCAATAGATTCCCTTAAAGTAGACTGCATAAAATATCACATCCACAAAAAGACCCACTTAAATGCACATCTGTTCCACCTCTAAGAAGATGCAACTGGCTAATCATGCATAAACTAAAAGAAATGATGATGGAATTAAAAGGGGTTAATCTGCAAGGCAGTTGAGAATGGACTAACACTAACCTCTGGGTAGCCTCCAACGTCATGCACATCGATTCCAAGTAGATGTCCAAGTCCGTGTGGCATAAATATTGCACCCAGATGAACCTTCACCATGTCATCTACATTGCCTTTCAGAATGCCAATTTTAGTCAACTCTTCCAGATGGACTCTGTCAGCCAGACGGTGCATATCAGGCCAGGCAACCCCTTAGAGAGCAGAAACGAGCAGCTCAGTTAACTATTGCTAAAAGATTTTAAAGACGATTTTTGAGAAGCAGATGTAACACATGTGCCTTTTGTTTATATAAAAAGGAAGGTGGAAAAAGCAACTACGTTAACACAAATATACCTTAAACAAGACAATATTGTCTCAACACGCATGTGAAGCACAGAAGACCACAAGCAAGAACAACAGCAGCACCTCCTAATCCAGATCCACGTGTAAAAACGTTAAGATCCTGTATCTAAGCATGTCTATGCAGATGCTCATGTATCAGTGAGTTTTCTAAAAGAAAGGAAACTGTAAAATGCAGTTATTTAAAATGCAAAACATAAAATAGTAATATCCTCTTATTTTCAATCATGACCATGCTCATTTATAACATCTGAGATGGACTGTACTTTTCTACGTACACAGATGATTTAAAGCCCACATCTTTCTGGCAAAGACACTCTCCAGAAATTAATGATTCCCTTGTGTTAATGGGCTGTGTAAAACACAAGTCCTCTAATACACGTACTAAAACAGCATTACAAAATACTGTTGGTTGACTAGAGACAGAGTGCCAGGATACATTAGATTTCTATTATTTTGGTATAGGATACCATTTTGTTTGACAAACTGCTGGGGGGAGGAGGAAGGAAGAAAGCAGCTCTTTTGTTAGTAACAGTACTGTCTTAATTAGTTCACCATGGTTTTGAGTCATCATCAACAGAGTGGTTGCAGAGTCAAGGCAACTAGGGCTAAGGTACAGTAGAAGAATATTTTCCTTGTTCAATTTTGGCATGATTAAACAAATGAAAAATGAACAATTTTTAAGGCCAAAACCCCATCAAGTTTCATTTGCTTTAATCCAGTTAAACACACAGCTCTAGGGTCTTGTGAACATGAATGTCATATCATAATTACATTAGCACTTTTTGCTGAAAGTACTGAGGCCTTAAAGGCTGAAATAAAGTCATCCTATGGGAGTACTTTATAAAACTCAGTTGTCTTATATGGCTCTGATATAAAGGTCAGAAACAAACTGAAGAGCAAGTGACTGCTCTGTCTTGCACACCATCCACACAGAAACCAACGCGTCTCTCTGCTCCCCTTAACACCAACTGGGAATCAGCTCAGCATGTAGGTTAGTTAACAGGCAGCCTCCATTTCCCCATCAGATTCTTCAGAGAGCAAACTTTTTAGCCTATTGCATGCACACAGCTGAAGAAGCACCTTCCTTGCCCAGGCAGGACCACGAGACAGAGGTGTGCTGCACACTATGCTGGCCAAACTCTCAATGGCTGTTTGCTCACAAAAGTCAACAGTGCCCAGGTGAGTGATGCTCACTCACAAAACGTGTGCAGACCTCCTGGTCAAAATGTGCTATTTTGTTTTTTTCCCCTTCTTTGAAAAGGAATTTAGATTTTTGCTTCGGTAAGAATTAATAAAATTATAACCAGTTGTTCTTTGACAATTGTGTTCAATGTGATTATATTTCACAAGAATTTATGCTTTTAACTTTTTTAACATTGATTGTATTGAAATTTTCACTTCTCTATATTCATCTGTTCCACAGCTACCTCACAAGAGACTCCAATCTACTGCCTGATAAATTGAAATCATTACAATCTATCACATCAATATTATGGTATCAAACTGGATTTATTACTGAATCATAGTTGCTTTCCTGTTTATTTTGCAGTTGTAGGAATACTGAATTTCTGCACATAGCTCCCAATTCAGCTTCTGCACTTCACAGTCAACTCTAACTGCTCTAAAAGGTTGTAATACTCTTTCTGGGGATACCAGATGTTCTTTTGAGTTCTCTCCCATGATTTCTTAGCTGAGTATTACTAGAAGTATTCTATTTTCATCCCAATGACTGTAAGGCCATGTGTATTGTCTGACCCTGGTCAACTGAAGCCTCATCTGCTCTTGATATAAATGAAGGCCAGAACTCTATAGCTGTAAGACAAAATACAACCATAACCTGGATGTTCTGAATCAACTTAAGATGAGATACCTGAGAGAACTGAAGACGTGCCTGTTGTTTGCAGTACAGCATCCCTCTACAATCTAATGGCCTATGCAAAGGCAGCTGTCTCTGGGACTAGGCTGGCAAGTCTGCACTCAACTGTCAGTGAAGTCAACTAGGACGTACACTTGAAAAGCAAACGTCCTCAAATTCTGATCTAGTTTTCCTACATACATACTAAACTTCTGATAACCACAAAAAGCAGAGAAGTGAGTCAAAATTAAATATCACACCTCATTTGACTAGGAGAGCCACGAACAGAATTTTTTTTGACACTCTCACATGATATGCAATTCAACAACTGAATGCACCATGAAGACTTGCAGTGAGAATACGTGAATCCTCCTGTTAATCCACAGAGATCTATATTCTGCTGAGAAGTCTGGGTGCGCATCTATGCGTGGATAGCTTTAGCATGTGCAACCAAAGGAAAAGGTAATAAAGAAGCCTCTGTGCAGGGGGCCAGGGAACAAGCTGCCCAATAGGGCAGCATTTGCAGATGCAAAGAAAAAACGTTAACTAAACAACACTGAATGAACAACATTTTGTACAAAGACTCTTTTAATTCATTGAGGTTACTTATGTTCAGGCACTTTCAGTTTTCTGGGTTACCGGTGGTCCAGTGGAGAGCTCTGTCACCCGCTGCAAGCGACACAGTCAAGCGCCACATTAGCACTCTTGTAGTGAGAAAAAGCAGTTAAAAAACAACTAAAAACCACAACAAAGCTTCCACAGAAGTGGCTCTAACATCAGTTATGTGAGTTACGGCATCAGCTGCCTGTTTTGCAACACCAGCCTGCACTAACCTCCCACTACCGATCACCCACTAGGATGTTTTATATTATTCAGGATTGTTATTTTTAAGCTTTGGTGAAGTTTACCATAGTTGCAAACATGATTTTTGTGTAAAAAGGCTAGTTCCATTACTATCTTTGAGCCAATTTATAAACCAATTATAGTCCACTGACAGATGAGGTTTAGAAAACTAGATTGGAGGGTCCTTGGACTTCGACAGCTTGTACCAAAATGAGTCTGCACTCAGGAAAATCTGCTGATGATGTGTCTGTTCCATTCTTAATTCTCTGCCAAACGAGATACTGGGTAATACAGGTCACTGAACCAGCAACTGGCTCCCCAGGAAAGCTCAGTTACCAAGGCTCATTAGGTTGCAGTTTGTTACCTGCCACGCAGCGTGTGCCTGGGCAAGAAGCCAGAAAAAAAAATCACCTTTGACAAAATCAAAGCATTTGAGATCCCTTGAGATTCAGCATGAATGATTCAGCATCAAGATCAGACAATGAATATGTTTGATAATGAAATGTGACAGATCATGGATTAAACAACATATAACTATGGAGGCTATTAGTTTTCAGATACCATGCAAACAGTGTGGCAGAGGTTTGCAGATGTGTGAGGTATTCTGTTTAAAAATTACAAACTTAATGCATTGTTTACCACAAGGGGTTTTCTAAAATTTGCTCTCATCAACCTAAATGCTATCTGATATTCTTAGATGCTACTGTGACAGAAAATAAATAGATAAAATTAGTATTGTCTTACTTCCTTGAAAATATTCCCTCTTTAATTACCCATTTGGCAAATGCACAAAATTGCAGATAAAACACCATGTTTTAGGGACTCAGAAACATTATATAAGGACCTGGAACAAGCTATGACTGATTTGATCATGCTATTGATAAGATTTTTGTTCAAAAAAAAAGAAAGAAAGAAATGGTCCTGGTGAAACCAGCAATCAAAAGCATCCCTATCTTTTAATGAACATACCATAACTTTTTAAACAGTAAAATGTAAAAGTTGAGTTGTTATAACTCACCACACCATAAACTACTCCTCAGGTGCTGTTAACTCCCTGTTATTTTCAGTTGAGTGATTATTTTCTGATGTTTTATTAGAAGCTATTTGAGAACAAAAAGCAGAAACAGCATAAAAAAGTAATTTAGAAACACTGTGTGGTATTTAGCCATTTTGGTTGGAAAGTGCTCTGAAAAGGCCTAACAGGATTTTTTTGGCCACTATTTAGGGTACTTTGTGGTTGTAATGTGACAATGATTAAACCACAAATGATTTAGCAGGGTTTTTTTGTTGTTGTAGGGTGGCGTTTTTTTGCCAGTACAGATGTCACAATCTTACAAAAAAAAATGAGTATGGCAAGGTTGTAGTAACTTCTCCCCAAATGCACTAAGGTTAAGTTACATTTAATTCCTGAGTGTCCACAGACAAGGGCAAAAGGCCCGATGTCCCCTGGCAGTGCCACTGAAATGCAGACATAACACACAACCCCTGTCCAGCCAGCAACTCACTGGAACAGACTGAAATCTGCCAGTACAGAGTAACCATATCAGACATAATAGGTCCTCAAAAACTCTAATCAAGCCCAGCTTAAAAACCAAACAAACCATAATTTAAATAATAAAACAAATTATTTCTTTCCTCTTCAAATGGGTGTTGGTGAAGAATGTGTTGTATTTCTGAATTTCATGTGTCCCATTTGGCCCACTAGATGAAATACTCAGTAGTTGCTCAGTTTTTGAGCTTGGCTTCTTGCAGCACCAGGTAAGGCAGCTCTGCAATGGGATGGGGAATCCAAGGAACTAAAATGCTGTACACAAACACTGACAATGTTTGGGAACAGTGATGCTGGTCAAAGCTTCACATACCGTGTAGGTAAGTGCATTAGATGGCCATATGGATGCCTATTTTGGGAATGCAGTTTAGGGTTGTATTTTACAGCAGTGGCATGGCTATAACTGGCTGCCATATGATGAGACCAGCCTGCTAATTTTCCCATCCTCCAAAGGTGAAGTGAGTTATACTGAATTTGCTGCTGTGTCATACCTGCTGATACTGGCAGTACTGACTGCAGGGATTACTAGACTTCAGCCTGCTCTGTGCTATGAGTCCCAGTGCCACAGCTCCAAACCAGGATGGAGTCCTTCAAAAACCACC